ACACGCGCCGGCATCACAAATGCTCTCGGTCCGCCACGGTCGGTGCTCACTCTCTTCTCTCTCTAGAACACGACCCGTGCTCTCTCTCTCTCTAAAATTTAAGGCGGAACTGTTTCTCTCTCTAGATTTCCTCTCACAAACAAGGTAATATTATTGCATCATGCTTAAGTCAGGAGAGCATCAGCATCCACCGAGACCATTCAGAACCACAAACCACCTAAGCTCCGACCAGGTCTTTAGAGAGAGAAGAGAGACTGACAGTTTAGAGAGAGAAGAGAGACTTGGCCACCAAGTCAAAACCACGTCACCACTCAACCCAGCGCCCACGTATTTTGACCCTGCACCAGTCAGTCAATCAACAAACACATGAGCTACCCAATATATATATATATATATATATATATATATATATATAAGTCCAAAGAGTAAAGGAAATTGATTTGATAAGGTTGGCCACCTCATGATCATCTCCCATTAAACATTGTGGTTGTTAAAAAAATAAAAATAAAAATAAAATAATAATAATTTGAAACTTTAAGAATAATATAAATTACAATAAATTATCTATACCTTTCATTTCAATCTTAAAAATAAGTGGTCAAAGATTCACAGCAAATATTTTTTTTTTTATTTAAATTTTATTTTCGATGTAAAAAATTGATTTCAACGTTATCATGAAGATTTCTATTACTGAAAGTTAAAAATTGATTTTAAAATCAGCATGGAGATTTCTATTACCAAAAGTGTCGTCTAAGCGAAGATTTAACATGAGGCTTTATTTTGTTTTCCATAAAACCTAAACATCACTACAAATATAAAATAAGGAAAAGTTTGCCGATCTTGTGTTATAGAAACACATAAGGCATGTCTTAAAAATTCACTTAAAATGGTCATTTTGATTTTAAAAAAAATCTTTCAATTAATCATCTTGATCTCGAGATGTTTGGATATGAAAAAAAAAAGATTTTTATTACAAAAAATAATGCGTCTCAAATCATATTTTCTATGTCATCTACTTTTAAAATTTTCAGATGTTTATAGATATGTCAATTTACACCATTATTGAAACTTTAAATTTTATAATATGACTTAAAAATAGTTTTGGTCTAAAAAGGGTGAAAATGTAAACAACCAATGTAAAATTATTTTAAAAAAATAGTTTTCCTTTCAGGGTGCAGATTCTATAAGGTTGCAACCTTAAACAATCCAATTAAAGGGACACCTTAAAATTTTTATTATAACATGTAATTTTGTCATAAAAAATACTTAGCATTATCTTAAAATCTATTTTTATTCTTAATTAGAAAATTGTAAATTCCAAAATGGGTTAAAATCAAATAGATCTATAAATATATAAAAATCTTGAAAATGGACGGTTTAGATAATGTATTGCAATATGCACTATTTTCGAGACTCAAAAACTGTTTTTTTCATATTCATGCATCTCAATGTCGAGATGATCGATTAGAGGATTTTTTCAACATTAAAACAACAATTCCGATAGATTTTTGATGTGCACATGTGATTCTACATTTTAATGTTGCAATATATAAACTTTTCCCTTTCATAAATCCTAAATCTACATCATCTTGATGAAGTTATCAACTTTTGGCAACCGAACTGCATCTCTAAGCATATCATAGGAGTGCTCCGTATTTTGATACCTTGTACAGTGCCCACCAAAGAAATAGAGGAAATTTTGACATATATTGCTAAGAAAGAAGTTTATATAAGTGAGGGGCCTAAACAACCAAATTAAGGCATACCTCGAAAAGTTGTTTCCATACCCAAAAATCCTCCCATTAATACATGAGAAAAAATGGATCTTAAAGTGTTGATGACAGACCTAGTCAAATTGTTTGGTCAAGTTTGTTATTGGTGATAAGCGTTATATTATTTTCCTCTATCTCCAAGATTCATTGTGATTGTCCTCTATATATAGAGGCATATAATTTTTTATCCAAATAGTGAAGATGTAGCTATTGGGCTTTGGATCGTGGAGGCTAGGCTTCGGCCTGAACATGGACATCTTGTGTTATATCTCTTCTTCTCTCTCCATAATCTTCTTTTGTTATCTCTTTTCTTCTCTCTCCATAATCTTGTGTTATCTCTTTTCTACTCTCTCCATAATCTTGTGTTATCTCTCTTCTTCTGTCTCCATAATCTTGTGTTATCTATCTTCTTCCCTTTACATTCAAGGTTTGTGTGATCATACTCTCTGGAACTTCTCCATAATCTTGTGTTATCTCTCTTTTTCTCTTTCTACATTCAATGTCTGCGTGATCATACTCTCTCGAACTTCTCCATAATCTTGTGTTAATCTCTCTTTTTCTCTTTCTTCTCTTTACATTCAATGTTTTGTGCTCATGCTCTCTCGAACTCTTGAACTTTAACATGGTATCAAAGCGAAAGAAAACCTCCGCCCCAAATGTCATGCTGCGCCGTCGGCCCTAAGTGTCGCGCCGTCCAAAAGAAAACCAAGTCCCTAAGTGTCGCGCCATCAGCCCTAAGTGTCATGACCCACCCTAAGTGTCATGACCAGCAAAAGAAAACCAAGTGTCATGCCGTGCAAAAGAACCGTCGGCCCCAAGGCCCCAAGTGTCATGCCGCGTGCGTAGCCCCAAATGTCATGCTGCGCAAAAGAAAACCGTCTGTACTTATCTCTTCTTCTCTCTCCATAATATTATGTTATCTCTCATCTTCAAACCGTCGGCACTCGTCTCTTCTTCTCTGTCCATAATCTTATGCTATCTCTCTTATTCTCTTTATCTTCAATGTCTGCGCTCATATGCTCTCTGGAACTTTTACATTCAATGTTTGTACTCATGCTCTCTCGAACTTTAACATGATACTCTCGAACTTTAACATGGAATCAGATTTAACATGGTATCAGAGCGCTTATGTCTCCAGAATCTTGTGTTATCTCTCTTCTTCTCTTTACATTCAATGTCGTGCTCATGCTCTCTCGAACTTTAACATGGTATCAGAGCGAAAGAAAACCTCCGGCCCCAAGTGTCATGCTGCGCCGTCGGCCCTAAGTGTCATGACCTGCAAAAGAAAACCAAGTGTCATGCCGCGTAAAAGAACCATCGGCCCAACCAAGTGTCATGCCGCGTAAAAGAACCGTCGGCCCCAAGTGTCATGCCGCGTGCACGGCCACGCGGCCCCAAGTGTCATGCCCTGCAAAAAAAAACCATCGACCCCACAAAAAAAACCATCGGCCCCCAAGTGTCATGCCACGCAAAAGAAAATCGTCTCACTAGCCCACCTTTACCCGTGTTATTTCCCACCTTTACCCGTGTTATTTTGGGGTCATATGTTATTTTGGGTCATATCTAATATTCAGAGTTTGCCATCGACCCCGCAAAAGAAAACCATCGGCCCCAAGTGTCAAAATCGTCTCACTAGCCGACCTTTACCCCTATTATTTTGGGGTCATATCTGAATAGTTTGCCTCGATTTGGTACCGCTCTCACGGCCCGCGCCAAAACAGTGCTTTACCCCTAGATGTTCAGTCAACTGCCGCGCCTCAATGCATTTCGGGGAGAATCAGCCGCTCTGGGTTCGAGTGGCATTTCACCCCTAACCACAACTCATCCACTGATTCTCGGTTCCGACCTCCACTTAGTTTCACCTAAGCTTCATCCTGGTCATGGATAAATAAATCACCCAGGTTCGGGTCCATAAGCAGTGACAATTGCCCTATGAAGACTCGCTTTTGCTAGGGCTCCAGTGGGTTCCTTTAACCAAGCCACTGCCTATGAGTCGCCGGCTCGAGATCAAATTCTCCTCCCACTGCAAATTCTCCTCTCACTAAAAAACCTTCCAATTACAATTTCAGTTTGACATTTCAGTTTAACAAGTTGAGCGCACTCCTCGCACGGCAGGAGAATTGTCTTGAAGATAGACAAGTGAAATTGCTTGGTAAAGTGGCTTATTGGTTATAAGCCTCCTATTATTTTCCTCTTCTCTATCTCCAAGATTAATTGTGATTGAAAAGTATTGAAGATAGACCAAATCAAATTGCTTGTGATAAGCCTCCTATTATTTTCTCTATCTCCAACCTTCATTGTGACACTCTGAACGATTTCACCGTGACTCTGAACGGTTTCATGACTCTGAACGTTTCACCGTGACTCTGAACGGTTTCATGACTCTAAACGGTTTCATTGTGACATTCTGAACGAGAGTGTTGACGTTATTTTCAAATAAACCAAGTCATATTATCAGGTGATAAGCCTTGTATTATTTTCCTACATTTTCAAGATTTATTGTTGTGATGATCCTCCATATATAATAAGCCTATTTTCAAGATTCATTGTTGAAATGAACCTCTATATATAGTTATAAAAACACGTATTTTTATAATTTTTTATCTGTATATATATAGATATAAAGGCACATATTTGTATAATTTTTTTTCTAAATAGTAAAAATATAGCTATTAAGCTTTAGATCAAGTATTTGTACAATTTTTTATCCAAATAATAAAAATATAGCCATTAAGCTTTGAATTTTTTATCCAAATAATGAAGATGTAACTATTAGACTTTGGATCCGTAAACTTACTTCGACCTAAACTACGTTGTGTTCTCTTTTCTTCTCTCTTCTATTATTTTTATTATTTCTCTTAAATTATCTCTACATTTGTATTCTCTCTTCTCCTCATGTGTTATCTCTCTTCTTCTCTCGCACATAATTTTGTTCTCTATCTTTCTCCATAATCTTGTGTTTTTTCTTTTTCTCTTTACTTCTAACATAATTTTGTGTTCTTTCTTTCTCCATAATCTTATGTTATCTCTCTTCTTCTGTTTACATTTAATGTTTATGCTCATACTCTCTCGAACTACTTGAAATTTATTTTCGAGCCATCAATTTTCAAGACTTTCTAATATTAAACATGCTTGATCTACAGTATTTTTAAAGCTTTAAATTTTATAATTTGAGATGAAAATGAAATTTTAGACCATCACAAATATTTCCAATATTGAATCAAAATCTTTCGAGACTATTTGAATGTGCACCTTGCTTTGATGGTTTAGATACAAACCTCGTCTCGCCTTTATTACTGAACTTTCATAAAAAAAATTTACCAAAAAAAAAAACATAGTCCAAAGCCCATATACATAAAGGCCCCAAAGTCATGACAATTTATCTTCTCTCCTACTCCACAAATCCAAAAAATTTTTAAAAAAATAAAAATAAAAAACCAAAAATCAGGTTCACATTTAAAAATAAAATAATGATCTTACGAGACCAACACACCCAAATGTGTAAAACCCCAAATGACCCGAACGATCACTATTAGATTTAGCTCAAATCTTTAAAAAAAAATCAAATCCCCCACCCCCCTGATAACTTGTAATTATTTGAAATCCTACTCGCATAGATGGAAAAAGATCTCATAATATATAAAAAAAAAGAGAAATCCCATAGTTCTATGCGACTTCACAATCAATAAACAAAATAGAGCCCCTCAAGACAATGGGAGAGAAAACTTAAACTATGTAAATCAATGGTTTAAAACCCGTCGTGGAAAGGAATTTAGAATCTTATTGTGTTGCATAAAGAGATTATTTGAATGTCTTCAAGTGGAATAATAAAGAGCAAAAATCACATTCTACTACAAATTTGAGATTTCTTTTTCTCCTTTGTACACGTCTTCCGTTGACAGATTTCCTTGCCAAAGGTGGCACTTCTTTATACGAGACTTTGGTCTCGGACTTCTAATTTCTTTTTAATAGCTCTGAACTTCTTAAAAAAAAAAAAACAAACAAACAGAGCCCCTCGAGATAAATAAGACTCAAAAATAATAATAATAAAGCAATTATGAGGCCAGAAAAATACAAGAAATATCAGATATATTATTACTCATGAACATAAAAACTACAAAAAAAAAAAAAAAAGCAAAAAACAAAAAAACCCCGAAAGCCCATATACATAACGCCCCCAAGTCCTGACTATCCATACTCTCTCCTACTCCATAAAGCCCCCCAAGTCCTGACTATCCATACTCTCTCCTACTCCATAAAGCCCCCCAAGTCCTGACTATCTATACTCTGTCCAACTCCATAAAGCCCCCCAAGTCTTGACTATCTATCCTCCCTCCTACTCCATAAATTTAAATAAAAACAAAATAAAATTAACCAAAAACCACTTGAAATGGGCTGACTATCCATACTCTCTCCTACTCCATAAAGCCCCCCAAGTCGTGACTATCCATACTCTGTCCAACTCCATAAAGCCCCCCAAGTCTTGACTATCTATCCTCCTTCCTACTCCATAAATTTAAATAAAAACAAAATAAAATTAACCAAAAACCACTTGAAAGAAGAAATGGCGGTTCAGCTCACATTTGGGAAATGAAAAAAATCATAGAGTTCGCCATGATTCTAAGGTTGGGAAGCTCTGAAAGGCCTGGAAATCAAACATTGGACTCTCCATAATGGGTAAATGGGCCTGGTGGACGTTACCGTGGGCCTGGCCCAACATGAGGGCATGGTCAGAATCGAGAGTCGAGGGCAAGGTTTGGAATTTCGGTGGCCTTTGGGGCTCGGGTTTCAATATCCCTGGAATCTGATTTCCTGGAGAATAAGGTAACCGGATTCCGGTGATTTCTTGCACCAACTGCCGGAAATTCGAGGGGTCAGCGTTGATGAAAGTAGTCGGAGATTTGATCTGAGCCCTTGATTTCCTCTTTGCGATCTTCCCGCTCACCGTAGAAGTCAGATTCCGGCGAAGTGTGGCCGAGAAAGGAGCCTCGTTCTCGGAGCTCGTGCTTGATGACGTAGCTGCGGATTGCTCCTTCTGTACCACGCGTGTGAGAGACATCACCTCCGCACGCGGGAAAAAGCGATCATCGGCACGCGTGAGATTGGCGTCAGCGTTATGGGTCTGGCTGAGCTGACATTGTAGCGCACGTGTGAGCGCGGCATCGGCGTCACGTGCGAATGGGTTGGAGAGCCACGAGTCGGAGTTCAAGGGGCGCACGGTCCATCCGTTATCAGAGGTCATGGAAGACATATCGGACGGTGGTGGAGAAGCGGAAAGGAGGCGAGATTGGATCTGGACCGTTCCTATTTTGAAGCTGGATTTTGGGTTTCAGGAATTTAATCCATTTTTGCTAGTTTCTTTTTCAGACTCAGAAGCTCCGATTCTGATCAAATGGATTTGAAAGTTAGGGTTTTCTATGACTCTTCTGAGACCATTGAAATTTTACTCAAAATGGATAGCAAAAAAAGATAAATAAATCTCAAGCTCTAAAATGAGGGAAAAATAGGAGCAATGCTTAAGCTTTTCGACTCTGTAACTTTATTCGTTCAAGAATCGAGCAAAAAAAGAATGATTAAAATCGGCACAATAATGGATATAAGGCAGGAAAAGCACCACTACATACGAATCATGTCGTAAAGTTCATTGATCGAGCTCTAATGGCACCACAATTCCAGAACAAAGAAACAAAGCAAAAAATGACAGATAATTGAACGTGAAATGAAGCCGAATGCAAGGTTTTACTCCATTGCCACACGTCCAGGCATTGATGAGAGAGAAGCAATTTAGTGAGTGCAAAAGGCACTGCAATTAGAAGAGGAGACTTTAGAGAGAGAAAGACAGGAAAAACTAGAGATAGAGACAGAGGGTTGGAGAGCTATTGAGAGCCTGCAACTTAGAGAGAGAGAGGCTTTTTAAGGTAGTGAGAGAGATCCTGGAAGATCAAGAGGGACGAAAGTTCAGAGAGAGAGAGAGAGAGGGGAAAGGAAAGATTGCAATTCAAAGAGAGGGGGATTGGAAATGCGAATCTAGAGAGAGAGACGGCAACTCACAAACGTTCTGCAACTTCGAAGGGAGAAGAGGCAGAAGACCTGGAATTTTAGAGAGAGAAAGTGGGGACTGAAGAAGAAAGGGAGAGTGAAACAGAGGAGTTAGAAAGAGGAAGGAGAGGAGCGCAGGGGCAGTGGCGGCCTTAAATAGGCATTTGACAAACCGCGTTGCAGCATCCACGTGTCCAGATTCCGTACGGATGATAACAATTATAGTTGGAAATTGACTACGGTTAAGGCTCCACATCCCTGACCTAGGGTTAGGGTTAGGGTTAGGGAGGTCTGAGGGCATTTTCGTCATTTATGGTCAAGCCGCGTCATTCGGGAAATCAACGCGTTAAGCGGGGGCAAAACGACGATAGTCTCGAGGACAGGTCTCTGTCCCGTCTCTCAAAATTGACTGAACTACCCCAACATTTCTCATTAATAGCTGGAATAGACCCTATCCTTTTTTTTCCAATTTTTCTTTTTTTTTTGGCCATTGATGAAAAGAAAATTACTACAAATCACTGTCAGGAAAAAAGTTTTCTTAACGTTACAATGTCATCAACATAAAGTTAAAACAATCCTCACCATCGGTTTTATTTGAGAACAATCTTATACTTTTATACTAGCAGCACCCAACTATTTTTCAAAGAATATGAATAAAACAATGGTGGTACAACTCTAAGCAATTATAGATCATTTAGGATATTTTTTAATGTCTTTTTTTTCTCATTATCATTATCGTCAAAAAAAAATTTTAAATAATTGGAGTCGATTAAATCTTAAAACATCATTATGTTTTATCAAGGATTATACCCTCCAAAAATTATAAGATACTTTACACGTTATATATCTACATTTTATAGGAAACAATATACACAAAGTTGCAACTTTATACTATAAAAATAAAGTGCACCCCAAAAAACTAGTAAACAAAAGTATTTTGAGATTTGAAAACCATCGGATTAATTACTTTGATCTCGAGATATATTGATTTAAAAAAAAAAAAAAAAAATTTGTGTATCTTTTAACAACTTATTTTGACTATCTATTTTTAATACTTTTAACTATTTATGGATCTACTTAATCTACATTCTTTTTAAAATTAAAAAAATATTTCACAATTAGAGTTGAACATGAATTTTCAAGATCTTCTAAATAACCAAAACTACATTTTCTAACTAAATTTCTAAATGCATCTTACTGATATATATATAATATAAGATGGAACTATATATATATATATATATATTATTTTATTTTTTTATTTTTTTTATTTTTTTTTTTTGAGCTAATATTTTATCTATTTTCTTTTTGAGAACTATTTCTTTCTTTAAAAGAAAAACTTTCACCAGGTAAATCAAAACATCCAAACAGGCCACAGTGCCCTCATCCAAAAAAAACGAATTTTTTGTATTTTTCACATTTTTGGGTTTATTTTTGGTAATTTTTAAAAGGGAAAAGTTTATATAATATATCTTACCTCAGCATGATGTCTCAATATGACGTCGCGCGGCGTCATCCTTGACGTGATGCTGACTTGGATCCCACATGGAAAGAATGGCGCTCTTGTTTTTTTTTTTTGTCTACAAATTATAAAAATAATGCTTTTTTAATACTTTTTTTATAAAAAAAAGTTTATATAAGCATGCAACCTTATAATATAGAGCTGCAGGTGCAACTCAAATATCTATCGAAAAAAATAGTTTTAATGTTGAAAAACCTTTCGATTGATGATATCGACGTCAACATGAATGACCATGAAAAATAAAAATATTTTAAAGTCTCATAAATAGTATATTTTGCAACATATTATCTATACCGTTCATTTTCAAGACTTTCATATGTTTATAGATCTATTTGACTTTAACCAATTTTTAAATTTAAAAATTTATAACTAAATATAAAAATAGATTTTGAGATAATCTTAAAAACACATTACTTCAAAATTATATGCCATGATCAAATTTGAAGGTGAACTTTACCTCTCCAGCTACGGATACATCTGTATGCCACCTGCACCCTATTTATAATAGGGTGTAGTTTGTATAAGGTTGCAACCTTAAACAATCCAATTAAGGTACACTTCAAATTCTTATCATAATATGTAATTTTGGTATAAAAGATCTTAAGATTATCTCAAAATCTATTTTCATATTTAATTATAAATTTTTAAACTTCAAAAGCAGTTAAAATCAAGTAAATCTATCAACATATGAAAATCTTGAAAATGAATGGTTTAGATAATGTGTTGCAAGATCCATTATTTCTTGTCCTCGAAATCTTTTTCTTTCTTTTTTTTTCATATTTTTATATCTCGATATCGAGATGATCAATTAGAAGGTTTTTCAACATTAAAACTAACATTTTCCAATAGATTTTTGAGGCGCATATGTAATTCTACATTTTAAAGTTGCAATTTTATATAAACTTTTTCTTTTATAATAAAAAGAATAAGGCAGCTTATAAGTTTCAATAGATGGACGGCTCATATTTCCCTATCACTTATGCGGACGGTCCAAAAGCATAAAGATTCCCAAACCTTGTTAGAGAAGATCAAAGCCATCCATTAAAGTTACAAAAGCCAGCCAATGAAGGTTCTCTCTCCTTTTTCTTTTTTGGTGATAATAATAATGGGAAAGCGTTGCCTTATCTTCCTGGAAGATAAGGAAACTTTTATACTTTGGCCTCTTAAAAGAAGCGAAGTTAAGAGTTAAGTGAGGAAAGTGTACTCCTGTGGGAGTATATACTGTATATCTATATTTTCGAAAATACCTGTTTGGGACTTGGGAGGATTCTTTTAATCTGAATTTTTCGATTTACCTTAGAATCACATGATGAGTTCAAAATATGAAAGTAGGGATTTTGGGCACCAAAACATTTAGATTTGAGTGCCAGTAAATTGGTTGGCCTTTGTTTAATGTACAGGTGCGTGAAATTTTACTTAACCAACTATGCTGGCCGAAGAAGGGGACCTGACACGTGTTCTATTGGTGGCAACGGGTCGGGTCCGGTCGGACCAAGACTCGGACTCGAAAAATAAAATGGGACTTGGACCAAAATAATATTTGGGTCCAAGATTTGGACCAAGACCCGACCTGCCGGGTCCAAGTTTTGGATCCATACACGAACCTTAATAGTGTTCGAGTCCAAGAATTGGACCCGAACCCTACCCGTTGGGTCCAATTTTTAAATCCATAGCCGAACATGGATCGGATCTACCCCTCCAGTCCCATGTAGGATTGCAGTCTTACATGGGGTGACACCCACAAAAGGTTTCATTGGAAATTAAAAAAAGACCAAACCCCAAAGTTCCTATAGATTTTCACTACTAATATTTACTAAAATGAAAGGAAATTGCCCAAAAAAATTGTTCTCTTGGAATAGTTTTCAATAGATTAAAACATTTCTTAGCTTGGTTCATTTGTCTTAGCTCAGTTGAAAATGCAAAGTCTAGTGGTATGAAGCTTTGTCTCAATCATTCAGTTCTAAATCCAATTTCCATATAGTAATAATATAATAAATAACAATAATACTTATAGCATTCTTGTCATGTTATAACCTTAGTCTTAAAATATGCCAGTATCCTTTGCAATTCTTTATTCGGTTTTCTTTGACAATTGTGCCTAATATTCAAACCCACATCCACATACAAGTGAAGAGGTTTAGACCAATAGTCCAACATTTAAACAAAACCAAGAAGTTGAAATGAACAAGTCAACACACATCAAGACAGAACCCTGAACCCTAGGGTTTCCCCTCTTGCTCACTAATTACGGCACAAATGGACTTGAGGATTATTATATCGTGCAGTTGTCTTAGATCAGTAGCTTATTAAAGTCAATAACAACAACAACAAATAATAATAATAATAATAATAATAATAATAATAATAATAATAATAGTAATAATAACCATAGTTATGAATTTATAAATAGACTATTTATTTTTTATACACAAAAGTCACAATCATTCATGTCCCATAAATTTTAAAATAGGTGGTTGTAAGAGTGTCATCGAATAGATATAAAGTTCTAAAAAAAAAAAAATGGACTTCGTAACTCACCCCAAGCCATACAATTTGACATTTAATAGATGGAAATGATTATGACCGTCATATACAAAGATAAATGATATCTTTATAAACAATCCCAAAATAATAATACTGATGATGATGATAATTAAGACTAAGTTGCAATAAATATAAATCAAGGCAAATCTAGCTGATCCTGTCCATATTTATCCTATTCACAATCTGGTAATTTGTTCTTACTCCAAAAGAAATAATTGCAAGTTCCTTTGTTCAAAACTACCTTCAATTATTCTTTTTTTTTTTAAAAAAAGACCTGTAATTATTTTACTTATATCCTATCCTGTACCCTATGTATAATTTTTTGATTCAACTGTGAATAGATATAAAGTTTACTTTTATGTTTGAACCCTGGACCTAATAGGATGCCACCCAACATTGAGGATATGAGCTCGAGCTCACCTAACCAAAGACAAAAAATAGTTTATACAGATCTACCCTAATTCGCCCCTCTCTCTCTCTTGCTTTAACCGTTTATACAAAGCTATCCTAATTAAGCGCTGGCGATGGACCAGGCATGGGCTAGGCGAGCCCTGGCTCTATTCCCCTGAGGGCTGGCCCAAACTTAGCCCTGGCCCTATCAAGGTCGGGTTTGTCTTGGCTTGACCTTGGCTCAGCCCTCAAATCACATTTTGTGGCTCAAAACCTAGTTTTTTAGGGACAGCCAACCGAACCAGGTTATGCCACCGGGCCCATTGCCTCCCCCGGCTAAAATGGCCTCTCTCTCATATGCATTCCAACATAAAAAATACTATCTCAAGCACACATCCCAATCTTATCACATTGTTTTTTTATGCCCATAGTAGAGGGCCTAGTCAAAAAAGTGAAAATTAATTTATTCGACAAATTAAACTCTACAAATAAAAATAAATTAGTACGAAACCCATCCTTTAGATACGATTTAGGACCAACATTCATATATTCTCGGACAATATCTCCATGGGGTTGCCCCATAAAGAAAGAAGGAAAGCCTAAGCTTTACCTCTTTTCCTTCTTCTTTTCCCCCTTTAAAGATATAAAGCTACAACACACCGACCCCCACCGCACGCCCA